CCAATAAAACCATGTATGTAAACATGTTTTGTCAACCTCAAAGTGCCAGAGAGATGCTGGCGGTTCTGATGATCTCCCTACCAATTAGAGCTGATCAGCTATGGGAGAAGCTTCCGCTTTGGGGGATGTAGTAGAGGGATTCCTGTTCAAGTTTTGACTGGACTAGATGGCCATGGAGGGCCCCTCTGAGTCTCAGATTCTGGGGTTCTGTGACTAGTTCAGGGGATCCTCAAAGGGCCACACAGCTGGCCCCTGAGGCCCATCTTGGGCAAAGTGTAACCTGTTATTGAAAAGGGATATCTGTGGATGCCTTGGAGATGTACGGATCTTGGGGGAGGGCAACCACCTTGCCAAGGTGGTGTAAGTCTATGTCAAGTTTTCAGCTGCTTCCCTTCACTGGGATTCACACACCTGCCCTGGTAACAGGTCACTTGCTTTCCCTGTTGCTGAGGGGTGTGAGAAGGATCCTGAGCTATGGATGCTAGAGGCCTCTCTGCTTCAGAGTGTCAGCTGGGGAAACTGAGGCAGAAGCAGAGCATGAGACTGAAAGTCAGGGAATGCTCTGCCCAGCATAGAGACATCTTTCTTCCTGTTCCCATGAAGGGTCAATGTTGATGGACTGACCTATTATTCTGGATAGTGTTTTTCTTTCCTTACATATCACCTTTGCTCTCCATTTGCTTCCTGAAAGAGATCTTTGCTGGTTGAGTTCTTCAAGTCTGGTTGGGGGCGGGGGGGGGGTGGGAATATGGGAGTGGGGGCACAGAAAAGAATGCATTGAATGGCCAAGATGAACCAATGTAGTCCCTTCCCATCTCCCACCTCCACGGTCTCTAGCAGGCCCTGTGGTCTGGGGGTAACAGGGTCAAACAGAATGAAGTTCTGAACTGGGAGACAAATCTATGTGACCTTGGATAAGTCACTTCCCCAGATTGTGCACCTTCTGCTCCTAAATGGGGTCCTAAATATCCACCTCCCTCTCCCTGCTCACAGGTTGCCAAGAGACTGCAGAGAGCTTATGTGCCCGTGGAAGTGGAAGCTTTGGGAATTATGAAGATGCTACGGAAGACCTCTGAGGGGTGGGGAGGAAAGAAGGCCCGATCTGGAGTGGAAGGCTGGAGTCTGACTCCTGGCCCTGCTTCCAGCAACCTTGGGTGAGGCCCATCATTCTTGGAGCCCCTGCTTCCACATGTGGACAACTGGGGAGTGGAATTAACTCCAGGGACTCTGGGCTTCTTTCTCCAAAGTTCTGAGACTTCACGTCCTCCCAAAACACCCACTGAAACCCTCCTTCGCCTCTCCCCGGTTAAAGATTCCCTGGGCTTCCTTCAGCCTCTCATGTCTTTTCCCAACCCCTGGCTCTCCGAGATCCGCAGTTTTTAGTTTGAGACAAAAGGGGCTGAGGCAGGGAGGAGGCACCTGCTCTCACCAATAGGGGTTCCCGGGAGCAGCATCAAGAATGATCTGTGTTCAGAGCTCGTGGTGTGAATAATGGGGGACTTGGTCCTATGCTGGTGAAGCCTGGAGGTCCCAGAATCACCTCCTAGTATGCTGGTGACCATGTTCCCAGGATCAGAGAAGAAGTAAAGCCCTTTGGCAACCTTCAAGGGTGCAGTGTGACGTGGATGTGAGCTATAACTATCATTCCCTCGTGGCAAGGGGCAGGCTGCTGGTCTTCCTTTCTGGGACTGCAACAATTGCAATCTTGACAGGACAAAGCATGGGAGACCCCTGCAGTGTGGGGGGGGGGGAGGGAAGAGGAAACACGTGACCTGGACCAAGGGTTGGATGTGGGGTCAGAAGAGACCTGGGTTTGAATTCAGGTTCATAGAGTTACCAGGACAGTTACCAGCTGGGTGACTTTCAGCCACTCTTGTAACCTCTCTCTGAGTCTTGCCTTCAAAATGGGGACAAGAAGAGTGCTGGCATTAGGCACCTCACTGGGCTATTGTACTCAATGGGAAAGCACATTGTGAACCTTCGAGTCTCATGCGAATGTGAATCATTGTTTCTTGTTCTGATTGTTCGTGAAGTGCATGATTTCACAGGAGATGAAGGTGGGGGCTCTTCAGTCGGGTAAGAAAAGAGAACAGATGGCTGTCTGAGAAAAGGGCTGGTGTTTGGACCAGCATCTGGCATTTGCCTTTGAAGGAAAGAAAATTGAGGATTTGGGCCCCCGAAGGAGACAGCAAGCCTGAGACCCCAAACCCAGCAGCGTCCTCGCCGTGTCCAGAAGACGTTGAGGCTTGGAGAACAGGGGAGCCATCGGGACAGCTGCCTCTTGTCTGGAGACCTCAGGTTTGCCAACACTTTCCTTTCCTGTTCTCATTCGGTCCTCACAAATACCTTGGTGGGGAGGTGCTTTTGTTATGCCCATTTTACAGATGGAGACCCTGAGGCAGAGAGATAGACAAGGAGAAGACAAGTATCTTCTCTAACATTCCTTCCCTAGAGTGTGGGTGCTACTTCTTACCGGGCAGGTCTGGAGCTTCCATTTGTCAACATTACAGGGAAGCAGCCCCTGTATCGGGTGATGGATGGAGAAGGCGGTGGCAGCAGCGGGGCGGGATGGAAGAAGTCTCTTTGATCCTCCCTGACTCTATTAGGAGACAGAGGGGCAAGAGGGAGGCCAGGGAGGGACTCATCTCTCCCACAGGCTGCTTTGGTGACCTGGGGCACCTTGGAGGCATGGACAAAGTTATGAGGGGTCTTAGAAATGCTCTTTAACAGTATCCAAAATTGGTCAGATTGCTTTGTTCTCACTGATTCCCCCCTGCCAACGCCTGACTCACCGAGTTACCTCGTATTTATGTTATATTCATTTTGCAGCATTCACTACTGGCATGACCTTGGATAA